TCCTTTCTTTTATTGATGTGATGAATCATGTTAATTGTTTTGTGGATATTGAACCAGCCCTGCATCCCAGGTATAAATCCCACTTGCTCGTGGTGAATAATTTTTTTAATGTATTGTTGGATCCGGCTGGCTAATATCTTGTTGAGGATTTTTGCATCCATGTTCATCCCGGAAATTGGTCTGTAGTTCTCCTTTTTAGTGTGGTCTCTGTCTGGTTTTGAAATCAAGGTAATGCTGGCTTCATAGTAAGAGTTTGGATGTTTTCCTTCCATTTCTATTTTTTGGAACAGTTTCAAGAGAATAGGTGCTAACTCTTGCTAAAATGTTTGGTAGAATTCCCCTGGAAAACCATGTGGCCCTGGACTCTTGTCTTTTGGGAGATTTTTGATTACTAATTTGATTTCTTTACTGGTTGTGGGTCTGTTCAAATTTTCTATTTCTTCCTGTTTCAGTTTTGGTAGTGTATATGTTTCTACGAATTTGTCCATTTCTTCCAGATTGCCCATTTTGTTGGCATATAATTGTTCATAATATTCTATTATTGTTTGTATTTCTGCTGTGTTGGTTGTGATCCCTCCTCTTTCATTCTTGATTTTATTTATTTGGGTCCTTTGCTTTTTCTTTTTGATCAAACTGGCTAGGGGTTTATCAATTTTGTTAACTCTTTCCAAGAACCAGATTCTGGTTTCCTTGATCTGTTCTACTGTTTGTTTGGTTTCGATAGCACTGATTTCTGCTCTAATCTTTATTATTTCCTGTCTTCTGCTGGCTTCAGGTTTTAATTGCTGTTTCTTTTCCAGTTCTTTAAGGTGTAAGGTAAGGTTTTGTATCTGAGATCTTTCTTCCTTCTTTAGGAAGGCCTGGATTGCATATACTTCCCTCTTATGACCACCTTTGCTGTGTCTCCGAGGTTTTGGGCTGTGGTGTTATCATTTTCATTGGCTTCCATGTACTTTTCAATTTCCTCTTTAACTTCTTGGTTAGCCCATTCATTCTTCAGTAGGATGTTTTTTAGTCTACAAATATTTGTTACCTTTCCAAATTTTTTCTTGTGGTTGATTTCAAGTTTCATAGCATTGTGGTCTAAAAATATGGACGGTATGATCTTGATCTTTTTGTACTTGTTGAAGGCTGATTTGTGCCCCAGAATGTGACCTATTCTGGAGAATGTTCCAAGTGCACTGGAGAAGAATGTGAATTCTGCTGCTTTAGGATGAAATGTTCTCAATATATCTTGTTAAGTCCATCTGGTCCAGTGTATCATTCAAAGCCATTGATTCCTTGTTGATTTTCTTTTCAGATATCTGTCCATTACTGTGAGTGGGGTGTTGAAGTCCCCTACTATTATGGTATTACTATCGATGAGTTTATGTTTGTGATTACTTGATTTATATATTTGGGTGCTCTCACATTTGAAGCATAAATGCTCACAATTGTTATGTCTTCTTGGTGGATAGACCTCTTAGTTATGATATAATGCCCTTCATCTCTTGATACAGTCTTTATTTTAAAGTCTGGATTGTCTCATATAACTATGGCTGCTCTGGCTTTCTTTTGTTGACCATTAGCATGATGGTTCTCCATCCCCTTATTTTCAATCTGAAGGTGTATTTAGGTCTAAAGTGGGTCTCTTGTAAACAGCATATTGATGGATCTTGTTTTCTTATCCATTCTGTTACCCTATGTCTTTTGATTGGAGCATTTAGTCTACTGATGTTTAGAGTGAGTACTGAAAGATATGAATTTACTGCCATAATGTTGCCTGTAGAACGGAGTTTCTGGTAGAGTTCATTGGTCCTTTCTAGTCTTTGTTGCCTTTGGTCTTTTTTCTTTCTTTCTCTCTTTTTTTCGTCTCCTCTCCTCTCAGAGAGTCCCCCTTAAAATTTCTGGTAGGGCGGTTCAGTGGTCACAAACTCCTTTAATTTTTGTTTGTCTGGGAAACTTTTTATCTCTCCTTCTATTTTGAAAGACAGCCTTGCTGGATAAAGAATTCTTGGCCGATTTTTCTGATTCAGCACATTGAATATATCCTGCCACTCCTTTCTGGCCTGCCAAGTTTCTGTGGATAGGTCTGCTGCAAACCTGATCTGTCTTCCCTTGTATGATAAGGACTTTTTTTCCCTTGCTGCTTTCATGATTCTCTCCCTGCCTGAGTATTTTGTGAATTTGGTTAGGGTATGCCTTATTGATGGTCAGTTTTTGTTGAATCTAATGGGAGTCCTCTGTGCTTCCTGAGTTTTGATGTCTGTGTCTTTCCCCAGGTTAGTAAAGTTTTCCACTACGATTTGCTCACATAACCGTTCTGCCCCTATTGCTCTCTCTTCCTCTTCTGGGACCCCTATGATTCTGATGTTGTTCCTTTTTAATGAGTCACTGATTTCTCTAATTCTTAAATTGTGCTCTTTTGCCTTAGTCTACCTCTTTTTTTCTGCTTCATTTTTCTCCATAAATTTGTCCTCTATATTGCTGAGTCTCTGCTCTGCTTCATCCATCCTTGCCGCCACGGCATCCATTCAAGATTGCAGCTCATCACAACATTTTTTATTTCATCCTGACTAGGTTTTACTTCTTTTATCTCCACAGAAAGGGATTCTTATCTATTTTCAACCCCAGCTAGTATTCTTATTATCGTGATTCTAAATTCTGGTTCAGACATCTTGCTTATATCTGTGTTGATTAAGTCCCTGGTGGTCGTTTCTTCCTGCTATTTCTTTCAGGGTGAATTCCTTCATTTTGTCATTTTGGAGAAAGAAAAGTAATTAAGGTAAAAAAAATTAAAATAAAAAAATTAAAAACAACACACACAAAAAATCAAATAAATGATGCTAGATCCTAGGTGTGTTTTGGTCTGGTTGTTGAAAAGAGCTTGATAGATTAAAGAAAAAAGGTAACAAAAAAAAAAAAAAGAAAGAAGGAAAACGTTTGAAAATTTGAAAAATGCATACAGTGAAACAGAATAAAATGAAATGATGGAAGTAAAATAGAATTTGAAAAATTTATAAATAATAAAAAATATAGAAAAATTAAAGAAAAACATTTTAAAAACTTGAAAATAAATTTTTTCTCTCTCTGTATTCAAGAAGCAACAAAAAAGAAAAAAAGTAAATTGAGTATTAGCGAACAGACTGCAATACGACTGAAATTACAACATTTTCCCCTAGAAGTCAAACTCTGAAGCACTTTATAGTCCATAAACTAAGCAGGTGGAGAGACTAATGGTGTTCCTGAAGAGCAAGGGTGGCTCAGTTGGGTGGGGCTTAGTGTAACGGCGCTGTAGATGGCGCTGCTTAGCCTACTGAGGTGGATGTCATGGCACTTGTAGGTGTGTATGCACATGTGCAGATGGGGTGAAAATGGCATCACCCAGCTACCCAGTCTCTAGTATCGAAAGTCTGTTCTCCCCGATCAGCAATCGCGCACCACTCCTTTGTCTCTGGCTTCTATCCACTCCCCGCTGAGAGTGAGAATTTTAGGCAGGCTCCACACCCAGTGCAGAGCCTGACATGAGGCTCCATCCACAACCCTGGGATTATGACCTGAGCCGAAATCAAGAGTCGGATGCTCAACCGACCGAGATACGCAGGTACCCCCAAAATTCATAGAATTTTCACAACTTCCTGTTAACCCTGATTTAAGGTGTATAAGTAACCAAATTTACTGCCTTACATTATATTTCTTCAATTTATCCTTATTCAAAATGCCGATTAATAGGCAGTGAACGAGTAAGAGACAAATGTTAATAAAGAACAAAAGTTTTTCTGGTGAACCCTGTAAATGGAAAAGAGCTATGTTTAGATAACGCCAGCACGTTAAATAAATAAACAAAGAGGCTGCAGTGCCCAGCAGGGTCCGCCCAGCAGGGTCCGCTCACCACCGAGTCCACCGCTCTAGAGACACCGTGAGATTCACAGGGAATGCCGGCTGAAGACTGCTTCCCGTGACGCGGCATCCTGGCACACCTCAGAGAACATACTCAATCCCTCCTACTGAAACAGGTATTTTCAATACCCGAGGAGTTGAACGGCTGATGTTTTTGAAGCTCTCTGCAATATTCATCTTATTTCACATAAAAGAATGATTTTTGGTTCAAGAGTAAAATTCGAAGGCACTATATTCGTTGAGTTACATACCTGGATTCCAAGAAAACTGCTCCATGTTTCGTAGACACACAATTAGCAAAAGCACATAATTCGTGAATCGTTCCTTAATATCTGGAAAAAATTAACATAAATACTGCACTGCATATAAATAATAGTAATATAGTGCATGTATAATTTTCTTTTAGTTGGAATGTGATCAAAGTATTATTATGTACAAATGTCTGCAAAATAAATACACTATTTTATATATAGGATGATGCTACATTGGTAAGGCATTTACATCTTTCACTGACTTAATTCTAGTATGGAAATTCCAGTTTTGTATATGGTTGAACAGATCAGTGTTTTTTTTCTTTTTAATACCTGAGGAAGGTTTCACAGAATGGCTCAACTACCATTTGTTTATCTGCTTTCTTGCTGATGGACATTTGGGTTGTTTCCAGTCTCTGGCTGCTATGAATAAAGCCGTCATATTTCTGGTACAAGTCTTTTGTGAAAATGTGTTCTCACTGCTGAGTTGCACGACAGGCAAATACTTCAATGTATCAGAAACTGCCAGAAGTTTTTGCAGAGCAATCGTAACGTCTTCCACTCACACTACCAAATCCTGAGAATGCCCATCACTCCATGTCCTGCCGACATTCGGCACTGTCACACCACAGGAGCAGCCACTCTGGGGTGTGTGCAGTGGCATCTCCTTAGGGCTTTTTCAACTCCATTTTTTACCAAAGTGAAAATGTCAATGTGGTGAGAGATAAATCACATATTCATATTTTGATGAGACAGTCTTGACTTGTGAACTCTCTTTCAGGGTCTCAGGAATACCCCGCCAGGGTTCCCTGGGCTATACTTTGAGATCCAAGCCACTATGCTCCTTTGATTTTCATAACTATGAAAGATAATTCCAGGATAGATGTTGTGCCTTCAGGCTTCTCAAGGTAGTAAGGAGGCAGTAAGGCATAACTGAAAAAGCTGAGAACAGAGAGACAATCTGAGGGTTACGTCGTAACTCTGCTCTTAGCGTCTGTGTGGGTGACCTTGGGGAAGTCAAATTACTTTCTGTGTTAGTTTCCACATCTATAAAAGGGAATATCATCTGTTACAAAGAAATTTCTGGATGAAGAGGGAACTCTGAAAGTATTGTAAGGCGCTATGCCATTCTTTACCCTTTACCATGTTAAATATCTTGAGATTACAATAACCTGGAGAATAGAAAACTCGGTGCAGATGTTGAGGGAGTAAGAGAAAGCAGAGCTTAAGTATAGGAAACCGTAACCTGGAGGCAATGTGACACCCCAGTTTCAGAATGAACTGCGAAACAATACTGCATACAGCTGCCTGTAGAAGCCAAGAGTACGTACCGCTATTAGACATTTGAAAAAGATTGTTCTTTTCAAACTTCTTGAAAACACTTCCTTTAATTTCAACAAACTGCAATAGTAAACAAAAACATGACTTTTATCATGATAATAGATGAAAAAATGGACATGCTACATATAAAACTTCCTGGAGAGTAGATAACATGAAAAAAAATAACTTTGTCCCACCCAGAATATTACCACTAAAGTGCCGTATGACCTCAAAAATGTAAAATGAAACCTCATACTTACATTATTAGACATCATGATGGTGAGCAGTGACTTGTTGTGTGAGTTAAAAGCCACGTTGAGAGTGGTTGCTTGAACCATGATGAGAATTGCATGCAAAACTAGTGGGGAGTGACATCAAGGAAAAAGCCCGTTTTCACGTGATATCAATAGATACAACTATACAGTTTTGAAAGCGAACAATGTGGAGGGGGGCATGGTTGTGCTTTCTAAATCCAGTCTTGCGTTCATGCTTTGTTTTCTTATTAGCTATAGGTGATACGAACTTGACAGGTAAGACGTACGGGACCCATGTGAAACGAAAGCAGAAATGAGCCTCTGCGCATCCATTCACTTGGACCGTTGAGTCCTGGAAGATGGTTGTCTGGTTCTTTCTGGATTTCTGGTATTTGGCACAAGGCCTGGCAAACAGGCCTTGAAAACAGTTTGTTAAATATATGGAATAAATTATGATAAATACTGAGAAAAGAGACTTAGCTAATTTGCCTTCTAAACAGAAAAGCACACAAAGTAAAAGTCTGGAAGCAACTCACCTCTGTAGTTCTGCAGGGGATGGGGACTGTAAGATAATAAGAAATGTCTAATAATGAAGATTCTTTACATGTCATTTTTGAAAACATCCACAAGTTGCAGGCATGATATCTGTATTACACTTGGACTAGTTCGTTTACATGAAAAGAGTAGCTATTTTACTTCCTGTACTTGGAACAAACTTTTATGCTTACAGAAGTCTTCCCACTTGGTCCCTTCATTTTCCAAGTGTTAATCCAATCCTTTCAAGTCTCACTCTTTCAGAGACAGTACAACTCCCGTGAAGGAGCCCTGACCCCACGTGGAACTGAAGTGCAGCTGCTCACGAGTGTGTACAAATGTACGTATGGGTAAACACGCACGTGCACACAAAGTTTATCTAGTAAAGCCTTTGCTCTCAAAAGAAAAGCTTTAAGATGGGGTGTGGGGAACAGAGGAGATAAAACCTCCAAAATTCCTCTCAACCAATTTCAAATTCTACCTCTAGATGAGCCGTATACATTTTAAGCCGTAGGATTTAACAAAGAATTCACAGGCTTAAAGATAACTTCCACACAATTCCAGTGTGGGTATGAAAGTTATACAGATCACATAAAGTATGTATAAATATAAACCCTTCATTCTCAAGTTCTTCCATATAATCAGTTACACTGAGACGAGAGCTGTTTTTTCCCAGTTAAAGGGAGCAAGCATACACAAGTCTCTTTAATTTATAATCACTACTACAGCCAATTTATCAAAAGAAAGCAGACATTTCACACTAATCTTCAGGATACACACTCCTCCCCCTTTAAATCTGAGAAGCAGCTAACCAAATAAAATGATGTACAATATGCACTGACTTGAAATTTCCAGTAAGTTTAAAGGATACAGACATAGAGAACGGCCATGAAAAAGTGAGGAATCACTCCAATATGGGCTCTTTTTCTTTCTTTAGGCTCTGTTGCTGTCCAGTAGAGAGCATCTAATATATCTTGTCCAAATGATGAAAACAGACGATCTGCTACCTGAGGAGAAAAATTATTGGCAAGGTGTTTCCTTTTCTTTCTTTTTTTTTTTTTTTTTCCCTGCAACGTGTTTCTTAATATTCCACCGAAGTATGTTACTGTAACTCAGATGCAACTCAATCCCAACTGAGTTGGGATTTTTAAATACCGCTGGAAGGCAAGCTATAAAAGAACAGAGATCTTTGTTTACTTATGCAGGGGTGTTTCTTTATTCTCTCACATACAGTGAGTGCTCAGATTCTTGTACATTTAGACTCATTATCTATATTTATAACAAGGAGTGTCTTACATGGGGGCAAAGATAAAAGGGAGAGGCACATGAAAATCATGGGTCCTCCAGTTTTAATTCTCTAAATTCGGATTCAGGGTCTGAACTTAAATCCTTGAGGACAAATATATAATTTGAAAAATATAATATTTGTAAACAATGGTAGCTGTAATTTGTTTTGGATTAATTACATAGTATATAATATGCAGATTTACTTCCTAAAAACATTTTCAGGGACTGATCTCTATGAATATAGTATGATAAATAATCGGAAGCACACTGAAATTAAAAACAAAAGAAACAAACAAAAAAAGGAGGGCATAGGTCATTCAGGCTTCAGCTGTCATGTGCAGCCACACCCAGATCATCAGCCTTGGGCTCCCACAGTCTCTAACCCATCACTCTGTTCTTTTTCACCATGGTATTTATCATTTCCTAGTATCTTCTTGTTTATGGTCTTTTTTCCACCTGCAGAATATAAGCTCCATGAGAACAGGCTTTGCTCACCTCTGGATTTTTAGAGTCTAAAGGCAGTGCCTGGCATGCAGAAATTGTTGATTAAATATTTGCTAAAGGAAGACATAAGAGCTACCCACCGTTCGGGGAGTCTCAACGCATGTGTGGCACCGTGCTAAGCCCTACGTACTGCCTCACTGAACGTTCCTAATTCCGCTAGCACCCGCGGTTCACTGGTGAGACAGTAAGAGTTACAGACACTTGGCAACCTGCAGCCAAGTTCAGGACAGCAAGGCAGTAAGTGAAGAAGCAGGGTTCGGTCAGAGACGGTTTATCTCTAGATGAGAGTCTGGACTCCTGTCCACTGTGCTGAAGCCACGTCGTCAACCGTAGTCTGCAAAGTGAGTATGTGTTTCAGCCGTTCTGATCAGCAATTTACGGACCCTTTTCCTTAAGGCCTATTCACGAATAATAGTACTGAGGCCTCCCCGTAGAGGGCTTCGTATACTAGGGGGCGCATTACGTTTGGGGGTAGGTAGAAGCCCTCGGCACCTACAATCCCCTATGAGGGAAGGCGGGGAAGGGAACTAGTAGGCTACTGGCAGGAAGAGCCACTCACGCGGCAGAAGGAAGGAGATGAGCCCGGGCTTTTCTGTATGTGAGAGGGAGGGGAGAGTGGGGCGGCTACTCTGCCTCAAAAACCCACTCCCACCATCTGCATCCTGCTTGGTGGGGCCGAAACGAGAGCACAGGCAACGAGCCTAGAATCAGGAAGCTGGGTGTGGTTTTAAGTCATGTTGGTCAATGAATTGAGGAGTAACCAGGACCGGCCAGAGTTCCATGGCTTCCGTGACGATACGGAGAACCCTCCTCCACCACAGCAATGCAGTCTCAGAGCAGACAGGCCGGCAGTCCCCGCACCACTCCATCTGCCCAACTCAGTAGGGAAAGTCCTTTCTTGGCTCACTTAAAAGGTAAGGAGACTTTACTTGTGTCCCTGAGAAGTAGTATAGGAAAATGCATTTGAATCTCAAAAGTTTTACTGTATCACCTAGGGTAGCTTACTTACTATTTTAAGAATTTATTAAAGCAAAGCCTTTTTTTTTTTTTTTTTTTTTTTTTTTTTTTTTTTTTTTTTTTTTTTGCTTTGTGTAGCTAATTATTTTTGTATGAAAGCAGATTTTCATAGGTTGACTGCTTTAAAGTGAAATATATTGTATTAAAAATATTAAGTACTTGGAGAAATTGGGAAACTTCTGTTTGCTTGCTCTATGAAAAACTTCCAAAGCACGTTAAAATATAAATCTATTATAGCAAACACATACAATCCTATCATTTTTCCATAATTTTTAAAGGTCCAGTGAAAAGTATACGTGGGTTTCCAATGAATTTGCAAACAAATTTCCCTAACAACTGACAACTTATATTCTCATGGGGGTTCTGACTAAACTCCAGGCAGCAGGCACCCTTCTCTCCCATCTGAGGACAATACACGCCCTGGGGACCCAGGACCAGCAGTGGGCACCATCTCGCCAGGATGAGATTCTCCAGCCTCAGACCACAACCACTTAATCAGAACCTGTATTTTTAACAAGGTCTCTAAGTGACTCTATAAACATCAAGGCCAACAACAGTCCTAATACTAGAGTCGGCGGACAAGTATTCCATATCAGAAGGCCCCAAGTCTGTGCATCAGCCAAGCCTGTCACGGTCTGGGAAGCTAGACCGACCGTGTGAGTGCCCTAACTCACCTCGAGCATATTGTAGATGATGTACAGCTTGATGACTGACTGCCCCCTTATCAGGTGATACATCATGGAGTAGTCAACGTAGTGCATCATGAAATAGCAGATTACCAAAATGACACCCTTCAGGATGTCACACACCTGAGCAGGCTGAAGCAAACGTCTGTCCCTGAAATGCATAAGAAGTAATAAAAACATGAGTTTTATTTTATGTGTTCTCGAAATAATCTTTACTGAACATGCACTGGCATACAAAAATAAAAATGAGAATTACGTTGATATTTTAAGAACTAACAAATTCTACTGACTATTCAGCAGTGTGAAGTTTTCTGTCGAGTACAAAATATAAAGATGTGAAACCAGAATTACTAGAAGTGGGCCCTCTTAACAAGCAAACGCAGAGGGCGGGCATCTGCTGATAAAGTACTTTGAAGCAACGGATTTCCATGATTTCGACACAAGACTTTCACCTCAAAGCCCTGTGGCCCGCTGGCTCAGCCCCTGTGGTACAACGGTAGCCCTCGGCACTTTTTATTTATAGCATAGGCGGCTTCTCCATGTCTCTTCGCAAGGAGTTCATACTTCCATGATGGCGTCATGGTCCATTGTGTGGATGTGCCGTAATTTACCGGACACCACTGGCAAATGTCCAGTTTTCTGCAACCACAAACCGTGACGCCATGTACATGTCATGTCTCACATATTAACGTATATCTGCAGGATAAACTCCTAAAATTGGACTTGAAGGGCATGTTCCCTGGACAGAAGCAGCAGAACTGCCCTCTGATGGCTGTACCGATTTTCATATCCACTAGTGGCTTATGAGGAAGCCTGTAGCCCAAGTGCATCAATCTAGGGATAGATCAACTTCTGGATCTCTGCCAATCCCACTGCTGAAAAATGGCATCTAGCGTAGTGGCCACTGATTTTTCCCAATGGAAAAGTGCATTTCTTTATATATTTAAGTTATTTACATTTCTGTGAATTCTCCCCTCGTATCTTTTTCTTACTCGCTTGACCCGAGTTGCAAATTGTTTTACTAATTAATATGGGCAGAATCATTGTTTACTTCCCATGGGATTCAAGGCAATCCACCCCCAAGTATGCCAATGTGGCATATTATTTTGAATTAAAGTGACTGAAGAAACAGCTGATACAAGGACACTCTGACCTCTTCTGTCCCCTTGAAAGCAGGAGATAAATTCCCCCATGAATGGCACCCTCCCTGCACCCGGAGTGACGTAGAAGGCATCCTGATCACCAGAGATAAGAAATCCATTGCTGAGAAGGCTGTATAAGCAACCCTTGTCACTTCTTCATTAACTTGCTACCCCAAGCCCGAACACCTGGATCTTGTTAATTCTTCACAAATTTACTCTTTCTTTGTCTTAAAGGCATAAAAGCTTCCTGCTTGGTCACTTCTTTGAGTCTCAAATATTTTTATAAGCTCCTGTACATATGAAATCAAATTTTTCTCCTGTTAGTCTGTTTTATGGCAGGTTAATTATTGGATCAGCCAAAGAATCTAGAAAGGAAAAAAGAAAAAGTTTCCTCCCCTACACTTCTGAGATCACAGCATAAAGAGCTAAACCTAAATTGTGCATGGAATCATCTCACTAAATCACAAGGGAAAACACACACACACGCACACACACACACAGAAAAGAGGAAATTTAAGATTTCTTTCAGTGGCTATGAAATTCCCGTGACAGGATCGGAAGCGGCTCTGTGTCCGCAGGCGAATTCCTCACGACAGGAAATGCTCCCCCTCCTGTTCGCACAGCTGTTCTGCCCAGTGTCATCAACAAAAGCCCTGAGTACTTTCTTCAGGAGTTACAGAATCTCTTCATTTCCGCCCCAGTGACAACATTCTAGCACCAGCCTAAGGGGTCGGCTCCTTTTCCAGCTGGCCCTCGACCTTCTAAGGTCTCCGTATATTCGGTGTTGCCTGCTGACCTATTCTGAGGCTCTTTCCCAACCACTGTCCCCACTCGGATCAGGGGCTCTTTTCTTTCACAGAGTCTTGCAGAGATCAGCAAGGAATCTGCAAGCCTTCCCAACTGTTACCTGAAACGCTGTTTTACACAAACAGCGAAACATCACTTTACAAATGAGGTTTGCGGTATCAGCTCCACGAGCAGTTGATACAGGACCTCATTCTTATTTCCTGTAATGCACACCACACGTAGTTTTCAGCCAGATATGAATTCGATCTGTTCATAGAACATGGGATACTGCAAAAGTCCTGAAAAGAGGCAAATTCTATGAGAACTAGGTCTACAAAGGTTTCCAAGTAGATGGGAAGACACCGAACTGAAGCAGGGAGTCTAACTGGGGAGACAGGTCAGAATGTGTCTGTGTCAGACCGTAGGTCTTGAGACCAGCGCTACAAACTGACATGCCAGGGGAAATTATTCTTAGCAGCTGAAGTTTTGGGCAAAATTGCTTCAAGGACAAAGCTGATGAAGATCTATCATTATTTCCCTCTCTCCCTGACTCTTTTCTCCAGTGCCGTTCCTCTTCTCCCACGTGGAGTCTGGCTGTTTCTCATCGCGGCCCATCTCCCAAGCACCCAGCCCAGAACACAGATCTCTGTCAAGGCCTATTCGATTATCAAGGCAATTCCCTGCCCCTACTTCCACAAGATTAAAAACAGAAGAGGCATTACATTTGTTGAGAGGTGGAACTAAACATATTTTTAATTCAAGCAATGAGAAGAGGAGAGTTTGAACAGGTGGCCTATGTGTGACTGCCTCCCCTGCGACAGCCAGGGGACAAACCGGCAATGGTATGGAGTTCACTTCCCAACGCTTCCCCAGAAGCGCAGGTGCGGCTCTGCATATGCTGAATATCACAAATCGCCAAGAGCCGTGGGTCTCTGTATTTAGAAACTATAGGTCACGTTTTATGAATTAAAGAAAATGATAGATACCAAAAGTAGGGCAGTATTAATTAATTTGCATTAATTACCAAGGTAATTTTGATTACTAATTAAACTAAGAAAACTATACTTAGAGCTTTCGGTAATAGATTGACATCTACTTAGTTAAGTGATCTCAGCCAAAGTAATTTTATTTAAGAGACAAAGGGCTTTTACACACACACACACACACACACACACACACACACACACACCCAATTATGTGTCTTCATACACATTTACAACAAAGGACCAATGTGTTGGTATATCTATGAAGGAATACTATCACTAATTACAAGTCATTGTCGGGAATCAGAGCTACCAAACATGGGAAAAATATATCCCAAAATAACACAATATGACACATTTTGAACAAAGATGATAATAACTCACAATTAAGCATAAACAACTTTAATTTAGCTTTATCTTGCCTAGGATTAAACCAGGTTGTAAAAACGACAGAAAAGTTGTAGAAACACCTTATATGACAGTTCAGTTACTATGCGGCAGGCACTGTTCTAGGCACTTGTAATATACTCATTTCCGTGTTCACAATAATCCTATGGGCAAGGTACTATCACCACCTCAGTCTTACAAATGAGGCAAAGTACAGTCAAGAATGTGCCCACAGCTGGACAGTTACTAGTCAAGCAATGGAGGAGCAGGGATTTGAACCTTGGCGGTCTGGCTCCAGAAGGCGTGTTCTCTACTACCATGGTAGTCTCTATTACCATTCTAGACTTTTCTTTAAAAGAACTTATAAATCAACAAAATGGTACCCTTTCTCTTTCAGCATAATGATTTAATTCTATATTACTTATCACTGTCCTGACATCTCATTTGGAAAAATTTTGTGCTAAACGGCAAATATATCCATCATTTTTGTTATTTCTAAAAAGAGAAAAAAAACAGGACCCTATTTCACCGGACCCACTGCTTTCTGTGTGCTCTCTGCTCTGGTGAAAATATCCACTGCTAGTATCATAAGTGGTTGCTCCAGAGAGAACTTTGATTTTCAAAATGAAGGAGTATCATTTAAATAAAGAATAAAAGTAACAGACCTCCTAAGAAACAGACTCTTATTTTCAGATAAATATCCCTGTTAGTAAAAAAGGAAAATTGCAAAAATTAAAATTATTTCTAAGGTGGCATCTTAAAAGGTATCTTTATCTATCACGGCATCTCTGAGTAAGCAAAGACCTAACCTCAAAATAAGTTCACAGTATTAAAAGAACTTGAACCAGTCCCAATATAGGTTTCCTTCTCCATCAAGATATTTTTAGACGACTATCTGATAAGCATTTCCAACTCCAAAAGCAGCCTATCCATAGCCTTGCCAATCAACTTGGAATGGGCTTTCAAACAATACTTTCAGGTTCATGTTCTCCGTTATAAATGTCTGTGAAGTGGTAGTTACTGGCAATTCATTTGGCAAATGCTAAAAATCCTACACGAACACATAAATAAGCGGAGGAAGCTGTTCGACAAAGTGAAAAACCCACTAAAGTATAGGCTTGGTTGTGAGTTACTGCAAGACGAGTAACATTAAACAAGATACTCAACAGAACTTAAAATATTTTTAAAATTTTCATGTCAAGCCACTCATACAGAAACCACATTTTCTCATTTCTAAATTTCACCTTTTACTCATTCGGACGCTTCCACTGGACATGCGCAATTGTCTATGGAAGCACTGCCGTTGTTTCAAAGGGCTCAGAAATTCATGGGAACCGAACAAGGTGGTGGACAAAGATGCTCTAGGTAGGCTTCTTCCTTCTGCTCCATGGCAGAAGGGAACGTGCTGAGACTAAAGTAAACACTGGTAGCATACAGAAAGATCAAGAAAAAAGAAAAGGTAACACAAATGAGCAAGAAAAATGGGATAATCCCTGCCTGGTTGACTTTCAAATTGGTGTAGAAAGGTGTCGAGCTATCAGCACGAGATATTTCATTATAAAATACATAGAGTGAATCTTTCTTTCTTTCTCTCTGAACGCTTTAACTGTTTGTAGTATAACTAAAAGAATGCAAAATTTTTAAAAAAATGTAAAATATTATATGGTTCCCATTTTTAAAAAAGAAGTCCCTTTATAATTTAGAAGTAAATTCAAACACAGTATTGCGATTAAGATATTTTCCTTGGGGCACCTGGGTGGCTCAGTTGGTTAAGCCTCCGACTTTGGTTCAGGTCATGATCTCGCAGTTCGTGGGTTCAAGCCTCACTTCGGGCTCTGTGCTGACAGCTCAGA